ATGTTCTGTGGTGCCTCACCAGCCTCCTAGCCCCAGCTCAGGGCCCCCAACAGTCTTACTGAGCGGATACCTCCCACCAAAGTCCTCTCCGACAACACCAGTTCCTCAGAAATCCTCCAACCCAGGCTTTAGCTTTTTTGCCTTCTCCCCACTTGTTTTGTGGGCCTTTCCCAGGCCCAGCTAGGAACCCAGTCTAGGCCTGGGCTCCTTGATGCCAGCTTTGTCCACACCATTTGCTCCTGGGTGGCTCTCAGGCCCAGTCATCTACCAGCTAATGGCTTGGGTCAGGCACACCTGGGCCTAAACCCTGGTTCTACCACTTACAAGCAAAGCAATCTTAAGCATGTTACTACACTTCAATGAGCCTGTTTTTCCATCTGTATAATGGGAGTAATAGTACCACCTACCTCCTAGTGAAGGCTGAGGGGCAGCAGGCAACGCACTTAGCACTGTGACTGGTACGTCGTAAATGGTCAGTGAATGACTGTGTGTGTGTGTGTACGTGCGCACACACACGTGAATGTGCGTATCTATCCTGAGCACCTCACTGTTCTTTATTGTATTTTTCTCCATTTATCAACTTGAGCACCACAGGGCTATATAATTTCCATCTTCTTAAGAATCCTGGTTTCTTATTTCATCCTTCCTTTTGTTTTTTTGCCTTTCTAACCTCTTCTTTGACACCTTCTATGCTTCTGTGTATTTCCACGGTCATCTGCGGCTCTCACGTACAATGGTTATGATGGCCGCGTACCCATATGGCATCTTCCAGGCTCACCCAACAGGGCAGGGAATGGAAGCTCATGGACTAGCTGCAAAATTAACCAAAGCAATACATTACTTAATAAAAAAAAAAGAATGAAAATTTACAAAGGACACAAAATAGGCAATTCACAGAAGAGCAAGCCTAGATGACCAAAACAATGAAGATTTCAGAGTCTAGTAATCAGGGAAATGTAAAGTAAGTAGCAATGAGATACTTCTTTGCTTCTATCAGAAGGACTAAAATGTCAAGACTGGGGGCAATGCAGGAAACAGTTAATCATTGCTCTTGGACAGCACAGCCTTTTGGAAAGCAATCTGGCAACATCTGCTAAATTAAAATTAAAAATACATGTACCTTTTGACCCAGTAGTTCCACTCCTAAGAGTCCACCCCATAAATATAAAACTACCCAAAAAATACCAGAATGCACAAGGATGTATAATGAATTCTTGCTTATGGTGGAAAAACAAAACCTAGAAACAAAGCAAATGCCCTTCCAAAGGGGAGTGGTTGAACATATTGACAGGCCAGGGAATTAAAAAACCATTAAAAATAAATTGGAGCCTGGCTGGTGTGGCTCAGTGGTTGAGTGTGGCCCATGCACCAAGAGTTGTCCAGTTTGATTCCCAGTCAGGGCACATGCCCAGGTGTGGGCCCTATCCCCAGTGGGGCGGCGGCGGGGGGTGGGGAGGCATACTGAAGGCGGCCAATTAAAAAAATTTTTTAAATAGTTAATTGAATGCCTGGCCAGTGTGACTTGGTGGACTGAGTGCCATCCCATGGACTGAGAAGTCCCGGTTTGATTCCCAGTCAGGGTACAGGCCCAGGTTGCAGGCTCAATCCCAGTAAGGGACATGTGGGGGGCAGCTGATGGATGTTTTCCTCTTGTTGAGGTTTCTCTCTGTCTCATCCTCTCTCTAAAATTTAAAAAAAAAAAAATTTTAAAAAAGAATACCATTTTGGGGAGTTTGGCCCCACCCTGCCTTTTGTACACCCTTCAAGACTCGTCTACAATTCCTAATCTCAGTTTCTGTAGAGCGCTGTGAACGTCTGTATGCAAGGTTTTGTGTGATCATATGATTGTTGTTTTATTTATTTTTCTTTATTGATTTTAGAGAGAGAGAAAGGGAGGAGGGAGAGATAGAAACATCAATGAAAGAGAACATCGATTGGCTGTCTCCTGCACGCCCCCCACTGGGGATTGGGCCCACAACCTGGGCGTGTGCCCTGACCGGGAATTGAACTGGCGACCTCTTGGTGCATGGGTCAATGCTCAACCACCGAGCCACACCGGCCGGGTGGACATGTTTTTTTTTTTATTCTCACCAGAGGATATTTTTGCATTTATTTTCAGATAGAGTAGGAGGGAGAGGGAGGGAGAGGGAGCAAGAGAGAGAAACATCAATGTGAGAGAGACACATCGACTGGTTGCCACCTGCACGACCCCAACCGAGACGGGGGATGAACTGCAACTGAGGTACATGCCCTTAGTGGGAACCGCACCCAGGACTCTCTGGTCCGCGGGCCGGCGCTCTAACCACTGAGCAACTGGCCAGGGCCAGGCATATGTTTTTACATCTCCTGAATGTGTAGCGAGGAGCGGCAGTGCTGGTTGCGCGGTTCTGATCCCCGCTTCTGGCACAGACTCCTGCCGGGCTTCGTGTCCCCGCAGCCAGTGCTCAGGGCTGTGCTCGTCCTGTGGCACTAAGAGCTCCGTCTCACATCCCCGTGGATCCTGGCAGCTACGAAGTACAGACACAGGCTGCCGCCAGGCAGGCCAGGCGAGCCTGAGAGCTGCCATCGGATAGGACACCAGAATGCGGGGATCACTGGGCCATCTTGATAAGCAGTGGGGGTGAAAACCTGAGTGGGCCCCAGAAAGACGGGGAGGAGAGGAATCAGACAGGAAGAACAGATCACTCTTCCAAGAAATTTGTCCATAAGAGATGGTTGAGAAATGAGACAAGAGCTGGACGGGGAAGTGGAATCGAGCGTATTTGGGATTTCTGAAGATCTGAGAAATGACAGTGTATGTAGGACATAGTACAAGGTAAAAGCTGATGGGGGGAGAGAGGTGGACGACAGGGGTGATATCCTCAAGGCGGTGAGGGGCGGTGGGATCGTACCATAGATGGAATGTTTTGTCCCCTAAAATGCCTATGTTCAAACTCTAGCCCCCTAATGTGACTGCATCTGGAAATAGAGCCTGGAAGAGGTGAGAAAGGTGAAATGCAGTCAGAAGGATGGGGACCTAATCTAAGAGAAGAGATGTCCTTATAAGGAGAGGAAGAGACGCTAGAGCCCTCTCCCCGCCAGGAGGAGGGCCCTCACTGGGAACCAAGTCACTGGAACCTTGGTCTTAGACTTCCCAGCCTCCAGAACTGTGCAAAAAAAAGAAAAAAAATGTGTTGTTTTTTAAGCCACCCAGTCTGTGGTTGTTATGGCAGCCCCAGCTGACTAAGGCGAGTGCAAAGGCTGGTTTTAGAAGAAGCAAGAATTCATCCACAGTAACGGGGTGGGGTGAGGGCAGAGCATGTGGGGCCAATGCAGCTGGGTATCAGCTGGGGAGGCCCAGAGGTCACTCTGAATGTTTTGTTTTGTTTTTTCAGCAACATGGGAAGCAAGGTGAGCAGTTGAGAGTGAGGACAGGGTTGCAGGTCTAAGAGAGGTAAGGAAACAGTGAATGGACCAGGGAGATGTCACACGCACATCTGAGAAACGCCATGAATCCACGTGAGATCTGAGGTCCGCAAAATGACACTCGGTCTGCTGGTGCTTTTTCCTGCAGGGATGTTCATCAGTTTGGGAGGGAACTTAGAGAGGTCACTATAACCATGGTTGGGATTTGGCCGAATGAGAATGTCAAGTAGAGGGGAAAGGAGCGAAGCGAAAGGGTAACAGCAGTGATGAATGATGGGGGCCCAAAGCCGGCAAGGGGGATGCCAGTGAACGGTGGTGGGGTCACTGGCTTGCAGGTCCTGGTGGGGCTGCAGGCTGTGGGAGATGGGCCGTGCAGGAAGTGATACGGAAGGCAGAACACAGAGCAGGTACTTGTGACTGGGGCTGCTGAGGAAGGGACACCATGCCAGAATATGCATTTGTAGCATCTGAAACACTCAGACTGAAAGGAACAGTGTTCAGAGAGTGATTTTAACCAAGTGCTAAAATGGGATAAGGAATCAGAGAAATAACTAGAAAAGGGATGTCGGGCACTGGAGACCCACTGGCATGAGCATCGAAGTTAGAATGCTCTGACGGCAGAGAGAAAGTGAGGGTGTCTTCCCTCCCTCAAGGCCCGGGCCCCAGGGGCACGGGGGACAGCCTCCCGAGAGGGCAGCATCCTCGGGATCAGGGAGAACAGAAAGGCCTTGGGGACACTCATAGCAGAGGGTACTAGGGATTCTGCTTTTTTTAATCCTCAGCCGAGGACATTTTTCCATTTTTTGTTCAGATAGAGTGGGAGGGAAGGGGAGAGAGAGAGAGAGAGAAACATCTATGTGAAAGGGACACATCGAGTGGCTGCCACCCGCACGACCAACCAGGGCTGAGGACAAACTGCAACCGAGGTACATGCCCTTAGCGGGAACTGAACCCGGGTCTCTCTGGACTGCAGGCAGACGCTCTAACCACTGAGCAAAACCAGCCAGGGCATCACAGGGCCCCTTTCTACACACCTGCCTTGAAATGGAAAAACATCATTTCCTCTTTCAGGCTGAACACCCTCAGGTGACAAGAATTTCAGAGGGAGTGTGGGCTCAGGAGCTCACAAGTCCTCCGCCTGCGGGCTCTGGGGCCTTGGTGATGATGGCTGCCTGGGGTGACAGCAGGTCTATCCACTTCCTTCTTCTGCATTTGCCTAGGACATATGGTTTTTAAAAGAGTTCTCTGCTGTTTGCCTGTCACTGTGACAACTAGCACAACACAAGTGGGTAAGAGATCATGGTCCACCTGGGTCCTATACCTGCATTTGGATGGTGGGATGTGGTCTTTGTAAGAGAAACAGATGACCCCTGTGACCTTGCCTCCTGCCGACAGCCACGGAGCCCACGAGCGAAAAGGCTTTGCCCATCCCCTCCTTTGCTCCACTGCTGATCCTGCAATAGACTGTTTCTGTTCTAAAACAAAAAAGAAGTGCAGATTTCAGTAAGAAGCCTTAACCTCCTGAGGTATGACCACTTTATTTTTTTAACTTAACAAAAAAAAAAGAGAGCCAAACCACCTAGTTGTTTATGTACATATTTAAATTTATTTACAAAAGCCTGTTTTCTAGTGTATACTGTATGAAGGACAACAAGATGACTAGGTAGTCATACAGCATTAAGGATAGAGTAAAAAGTAATGCTTATTTGGAACACCTTCTGATGAGCCACTTCAGGTGTTGTAGTTTTCTCGAAGGTGATGTAACACTGGAATGGTAAATCCAATGACTTTTTTATTTTAAGTTAGTGACTATGGATCTGATTTCATCACGTCGGGCTGTAAGAAAAAATGTATCATATAAGTAACTGGTAAAATGCAGTCAATCTGTTTTGCAGACCAAGAGTCATAACTACCCTCCTATTTCAATGTGAGTTGCCCTTTGGTAATAAATCCATCAACAGCAAGGGCACTAGGGAGCAGAGATGGACGGAGACTGGTCTTGAGGCCACAGGTAGCTGAGTCCCACCAGAAGTGCTACCTTCAGTGCGCAGCGCTAATCAACAATCCCGTCTCCTCGATCCGACTCAGTCCTGGAGTGTAACTGAAATCTCCAACTAACAGAGCTGAGACGCCAAGACCCATGTGTAATCTGTCACTCCTTGCAACACTTATTTCCTTCTTTGCCTCATGACTCTCCTGGCCCTGATTTTCTTACCACCTCAACTTCTCTCGGTCACCTCCGCAGTGATGACACAATGCTCCTGTTATCTCAGAGGAAGTCAGCTACAACACAGAGCTGCCACCTTGTCTGAAAAAGCCCATTCAGACAGGGTTCAGTTCTTTGCTTTTTTGTCTCCTCCACGGGCTGGATTTCCATAGACCAGACCAGATCAGATGGGATCAGATCAGACCAGAGTTCCCAAAATAGCCACACTCCATAACCAGCCATCACAAAAAACTGCTGCTGCGGAAAGTAAACTGGAGCTTTCCCTATCAGCACCTCGCGGGCAGGAAACTGGGTGCTGTGCATTTTTGAGGGATAAAATAAGAAGCCCTTCTCAAACGAAATCTGGCCAGCACGGGACTGCTCCTGAGCAGACCTTGATGGGCTCTGTGCCCCCCCCCCCCCACACACACACAGCGTGTTTCATCCGCCCAAAGAATCGGGCTGGCATCTCTAGCTCACCTGCAGGCTGAGCTGCCCCCTGAAAAGCTCTCCTCCCAGAGAAATGGGGAATTTTGCTGTCTTTTTAATTTTGTTGATTTTGTGATGTTTTCCAGATATTTACCATCAGTGAAGAACACCAGCACTCCTAGAAATTGCCTAAATTGAACTACCCGGGTGAGATGCGTACTATCATGTCCATTTTTCCTCAGATACCTGACATTTACTTGGCTGTACTAAGCTATTTCTAATTGGGTTGAGATCTTCCTGACACTCCTCAAGGAGATGTCACAGTTTTTCACTTGCTTCTGGTTATACTTGTCCCCTCCCCAACTCTTCCCCCAATTCCTATCCCTCCATCATACACATAACTCTTTCATAACTGGGCTTAAGGATCTCCCCATGAAGCCACAGTGGGCTCTTCAAATTTAGAAAGTAGTATCAAGTAGGTAGGAAACACACCAAGTGCAAAGTCTGAATAGTAAACAAAACTATACCGAGGAGAGTTAGGCCCCTCTCCCACTCAGCCCCCAGCTACCCAGGTTTTTCCCCAGGACGTCACCCTAAGATGTCAGTTTTACCTCCCTGGACTCAAAACCCCAAAGCAGTGTTTCCATGCAAAGCTTTCCTGGCTCCGTGTGCCTGTGTCAGTCCATCTTAGTGCCCCTCATACCAAACATGGACTCTCGGCCACTTCTCCACGTGGTGCTGAGCAGGCCGTTCTCCTTACCAAGTGCCCAGTTCCGTTCCCGCCATGCCTGTGCCTCTCTCTGCTGCTGCCCCAGCTGGAATCCGCTCTCCACTCCGCGGAGCTTTGGAGATCTAGCTCACACGTCCTCCCTTCAAAGTCTTCACGGTCACTCTGGCGCCTTCGCCCCCCTTGCTGGTGGCCCAGCCTGACCATCCAATCAGCATTCCAGCCCATTACATGTGCTTCTTGCCTAAGTTCTCCCTGGTGTGACCATAGCTCCTCGAGGGTAGGAGCCCTAATGTGCTTTCTCAGAATCCCACCAATGTCTAGCCTCTTGAGTACACTGACCACAAGCCATCAGCTAACAGTGTCTGCCATCGAGTAATCTCCATAAATGTTTGTGGAATAAAGAAAGAAGCCGGTGACAGAGTAAGTTCTGGAATACTCCATCACTTTTCTCAGTGGCCCTGGAATGACCTTCACTCCGTTGTTCATGATGGCCATGCTTCCGCTGCAGCCCCCTGGATCTCAGCAGAGGCACACCTTGGATCCCACCCTCACCCAGCCCTCCTCTGAAATGCCCTGCCTCTGGCCATAACCCCTTCGTCTCCACCTCTCCCCACCTCACTGTCAGCACCTGCTCCTCACCGCAGTGCACAGTGGTTGCGAGACTCCTCTCCAGCCCCTCTCCAGATGGCCTCCTGGCCCATCAGCCCCTCACAACCTCACTACCCCACCCAGCCCATGCCCCATGGCTAGCTGAGCTATCCCTTGGAATCCTTGTCCCCAGCCTCTGCCACAGCTGACCTCCCGGGTACCTTGGTCACTGTTCCACCCCACAGCTGGAGAGAAAGGAAACCTCATAGTCCACCCACTGGTCCCACCTCACTCAGACCCTCACTGCTGCACAGCAAGCCTTTCTTCATCCCCACTCCAACCACCTACACAAAGGCTCTCTTGAAAATCAGCAACTCACTCAACAAAGTCAAAGGTGTTGACCACCCATCTTCCTCCTCTGCCTCTCTGCAGCCTCCTCACCCAGGATCTCTAACAGGGTGCCCCTAGCCCTCCTGCAATGCTCCCCACCACTCCAGGAACTCTAATTTATCTTCCCTGGTGAACTCACGTACTCAGGTGCTCAGGGCATCAGTTACAGTCCCGATAAAGATGCTAACCAATCTGCAACTCCAGCCCGAGCTCCTAAAGCCTCTTCTCCAATTATGTGCTAAACATCACCGCTCAAGTAATGTGCCTGCACCCCAACTCAACCTGTCGAAGCAGAGTCACCGTTTTCCTCCCCGAGAAGAGCCCTGTCTGACTCCTCTGCTCTGCCTGGGAGTGCCACCATCTCCTGTGCACCCAGGGTCAGAATTCCTGTTGCTTTGGCTTCTTTCTTAAAGAATACTAATAATTGTAATAGCTAACATTTATTGAACAATATTATGAGCCAGTCACTAGTCTAAGCATTTTGTTTACATTAACTTGTTTCTACATGTTATTTCTATGCTATCATTAGGTATGCTGTCATTATTTCTGTACCTCTGTTATACCCATTTTCCACAGAACACAACTGAGGCACAGAGTGTAAGTGACAAGCCCCAGGCCTGAGAGAGAGACAGCCAGCATTTAAACCCAGGGACCAGAGTACCAGAGCTGTACTCTCAGCCCAACTTTTATTAACACGATCTCCACACTTCCTTGCACACCTAGCCCACCATATCCATGCACGCCATGGATCCCCAATTCAGGTCCTCTCTGCTTGGCTGGATTATTCCATTTACAAACTCACTAGTGTCCCCATCTCCAGCCCTCTGTCTATTAGCTCCCTCTATCCTTTGCTAGCAGAGTGATCTTCCTAAAGTGAAGCTCTGCTCAAAAATCCTCAGCGGTTCCCCTGAAGAAAAGACCCAACTTCTTGGCAACTCTCAATGTCTTGGTCTGGCCCAACCTGCCGGTCCAGTCCCATCTTCGTGTAGCCCCTTAGCATTTGCCGCCCCAAAAAGAATGACTTGCCACCTCCTATCCTGCCCTCTATGGCCCTGGGCCCTGTCTCTTCCCTTCATCCCCCAAAGCCCAGCTCACGGGACCCTGCCTTCTACCCCAGTGGGATCTGTCATGAGGGACTTTCTGGAGCCTCTTTATGGCGATTTACTAATGACACTGCCACTGCTAATGATGTCTGTGTCCTATCTTTTGTTCATGACCCAGGCCCAGCCCTGACCCTGGCTCCTGAAGCGAACCCACTCCTCAGTGCAGCAGCCCTGGGATGGGCGGAGGAGGGACATTGTGCTGGTGAACAATGTCAGCCTTGGAGTCTGAAGACCTAGATTTGCATCTCGGCTCTCTAGCTTACTGCAATGGGACCGACTCCTCTGAGTCTCACAGTCAGTGTCTCCAGCAAGTGGCACGAACATCCTGTGCAAGGCTCGTTGAGAGGGTTTGATGAGAAAAGATTTGGATAGTGGTGAGCACAGTGCCTAGCACATGGTTGATGCTTAATGAACCATGGTTAGTATATCTGCGGATACTCCTGATTACTGTCCAAGGCTCCGGCACATACATAGAATCTGGCTCCCCAAGTGACAGGCATTTGACACTGAGGTTGTTCTGTCTAATACACAATACAGTGTTTACTCACAGTGTGCGGGGTACTTACTTGGTACTTTCTCTTTTTCCGGCATATTTCAGAAAACCTACAAATAAATAAATTTTCACCTCAATTAAAGAACTGAAAATAGAAGCTGAAATCTGAAGTTACTAACTGACTGTTAGAACTCTGAATCTGGAAAACTCCAAAACCAGAGCCCTGTCAAGTTGGTATTCCTCACTCTCCTAACTACTTAAATGAAATTGGCTACAGAGTTGGTCCAAAGAGTTGTTCAAAAATTAGTCATCAGATAACATGAAAACAAAAATTGTTGACAAAATGGCTATTTCTATAGCAGCCTGGGCACAAGGCTAAAGATGAAGACAAACCAGAATGGTCTGGACTAATGCTGCCCATTGCCACTCATACAAGGTGAGCCACACATGTATTCAAAAAATGTGCCTGGCCAGTGTGGTTCAGTGGATTGAGCATCGTCCCATGGACTGAGAGGTCCCAGTTCAGTTCCCAGTCTGGGCACATGCCCGGTTGGGGGTGTGCAGGAGGCAGCCAACCGATATTTCTCTCTCACATCGATGTTTCTGTCTCTCTCCCTTCCTCTTTGTCTAAAAAATAAAAAATATTTTAGTAGTCACATTACAGAGTAAAAAGAAATCATTAAAATTAATTTTTCTAATATATTTTCTTTGTTAGCCCAATACAAAAATATTTTCTTTACAACATGTAATCAACGTAAACATTATTAATGAGACATTTCACATTCCCTTTTTAAACAGTCTTATGAATCTAGTGTGTTCCTTATACTTATGCACATCTCAACGTGAACTCCCACATTCCAAGGGCTCGACTGCCACACATGGCTGCTGGCTGCTGTATCAGACAGTGCTGGCTTGGACATCTAGGTAACACTCCCACACATGTACGGTAGGTTTCCTTCCCACAAAGCACCAGCCTTAGCCTCAAGCCATACTTCCGGTCCAGCAGCCGAGCCCGTAGGCTTGACAGAGCGTGCAAAGGTGTTTGTCTACTATAACTCGGCACTGGAGCTGTTTACATTCGACTTTCTCCCTTTCCGAAAGCTCATGCCAAAGGCCTCACCATTTCCCAATTAATGACTTTATAGTTGAGATGCTTGCCTCATTATTTTTTTAGAACAACTTTTTTTTCAGGTTATATGGTGCTACCAGTACTGACCACTAGAGTAATGTCCGCTCCATTGAATGACTTTTTTGTTTTGTTTTAGTAAATCAACCAATTGTCATGGAGTTGGGATAACTCAGTGGCACCTTCCTTTGGTTTAGGTATTCTGGTGAAAGACCCATAAAAACAAGCAGAAAATAATTTTGGTTTCCAGGGACCTATCTGTTAAAGAGATAATTAACTATAATACCACTATTTGGGAATTAAAATTAACTTAAAAAAAAATAACATTTGAGCCCTGGCTGGTTTGGCTCAGCAGTTAGAGCTTCAGCCCACAGACCAAAGAGTTGTGGGTTCAAGTCCAGTCAAGGACACATATCTCAGGGTTGTGCAGGAGGCAACCAATCAATGTCTCTCTCCCCTCCCTTCCTCCCACTCTATCTGAAAATCAATGGAAAAATATCCTTGGATGAAGTTTTAAAAAATATATACATAAATAAAAATAAATTTAATGCAGAATCTCTGGAGGAATCTGGCACACTCAGCAAACCAGACAAGTTAAACAAAAGTTTCTGTTTCTTTCGAAATGCCTAAAATATCAAACTGTTTTCATCTTCAAACTAATTCATTTCCTTGCCTTTGAAAAACCAATTCAAGTTTGAAAGCTTATATTTTTAAAGAAAAGTATACATACCTATTACAAAGCATATTACTAATACCAATGATAAGACTTTATATATATATCTCGTCCTTAATTGAACTGTAAAAAGAAAACAAAATACAATTAGCTAAAATGATCAACATATACAGTTGATCCCCCTTTTTTGCAGCTTCCACATCTGCAATTTACTTCTTTGCTGGAATTTACTTGTGTTCCCAAATCAATGCTCGCGGCACTTTCACGGTCATCCGTGAACGCGTGCAGCAGCATGGGACAGTCTGAGTTGCCTGATGCGCATGTCCCCATGGAGTCTGAGCGAGGCAACACTCTGCCTTCCTGTTTCAGCTCTCAGACTATAAGCAAGTGTTTTATTCATGGTCTTTTTAGTGCCACGTTTTTCACATGATTTTATGTGGTTTTTTGTTGGCAATTTCACTGTTTAAAACGGCCACCAAGCACAGTGCTGAAATGTTGTCTAGTATCCCTAAGCACAGAAAGGCTGTGATGTGCCTTACAAAGAAAATACGTATGTTGGATAAGCTTCATTTTAGGCATGAGTTATAGTACAGCTGGCTGTGAGTTCAATGTTAATGAATCAACAAGAAGTATTAAGTAAGTTGTCTTTAAAATAAAACAAGGTTATGTATTGATATTTTGCCAAAAATGTTGTGACCAGATGCCGGCAGGAGCCTAGCCCTGTATTTCTCCTGGGAGCAATGGTTCAGTATCAGCTAATTGTGTGTTCACAGTGACTTTATAGAACATAACTACCACAAATACAAAAAATCGACTGTATTTCCTTTGCATAGCAAAGGAAACTATCAACAAAACTAATAGGGAAAGATATTTGCCAATAATATATCCAATAAGGAGTTAAAATCCAAAATTTATAAATAACTCATATTACTCAATATAAAAAAATAAACAATCCAATTAAAAATCTATATACTGCCCTGGCCAGTTTGGCTCAGCGGTTAGAGCGTCCGCCTGCAGTCCGGAGAGACCTGGGTTCGGTTCCCGCTAAGGGCATGTACCTCGGTTGCAGTTTGTCCCCGGCCCTGGTTGGTCGTGTGGGTGGCAGCCACTCGATGTGTCCCTTTCACATCGATGTTTCCTTCTCTCTCTCTGCCTCTCTCTCCCTCCCACTCTGTCTGTACAAAAAAAATAATAATAATAATAAAATAAAAATCTATATACTGCCTTGGGTAGTATAGACATTTTAATGATATTCTTTCTACCCATGAACACTGTGTATGCTTCTATTTATTTGTATCTCCTTCAGTTTCTTTCTTCAACATCTTATAATTTTGTGAGTACAGGTCTTTTACCACCTTGGTTAAATTTATTCCTAGGCATTTTTTGGATGCAATTGTAAATGGGATTGTTTTCTTAGTTTCTCTTTCTGATAGTTCATTATTGATGTATAAAAATGCAACCAATTTCTGAATAGTAGTTTTGTATTCTACTACTTGACTGAATTGATTTCAGTTCTAGTAGTTTCTTTCTTTTTGGTGGAATCTTTAGGGTTCTCCACATAAAGTATTATGTCATCTGCAAATAATGACAGTTTTACTTCCTTTCTTCCAATTTGGATGCCTTTTATTTCTTCTTCTTGTCTGACTGCTGTGGCTGGGACTTCAAGTACTATGTTGAATAAGAGTTATGGCAGCAAACATCCCTTTTTTTTTTTCTTTATTGATTTTAGAGAGAGAAAGGAGAGAGAGAGATAGAAATATCAATGAGAGAAAACATCGAATGGCTGCCTCCTACATGTCCCCCACTGGGGATCAGGCCCACAACCCAGGCATGTGTTCTGACTGGGAATCGAACCAACGACCTCTTTGTGCATGGGTTGATGCTCAACCAATGAGCCACACTGGCTGGGCTAGACATCCCTATCTTGTTCCTGATCTTAAATGTTTTTAGCTTTTCCCCTGTTGAGTAGATGTTGGCTGTGGAACTTGTCAGATATGGCCTTTATTATGTTGAGGTATGTTCCCTCTATTTCCATTTTGCTGAGTTTTTAACATAAATGGGCACTGGATTTTATCAAATGCTTTTTCTGTATCTATTGATATGATCATATGATTTTTATCATGCCTTTTGTTTATGTGGTATCATATTAACTGATTTGCGAATATTGTACCAACCTCATATCCCACTTGATCATAGTGTATGATCTTTTTCATGTATTGCTGGATCTGGTTTGCTAATATTTTGTTGAGGATTTTTGCATCTATGTTTATCAAGGATATTGGCCTATAATTTTCTTTCTTTGTACTGTCTTTGCCTGATTTTGGAACCAGGATAATGTTGGCTCCATAAAATGAGCTTGGGAGTCTTCCCTCCTCTTGAATTTTTGGAATAGTTTGAGGATAGGTGTTAGTTCTTCTTTGAATGTTTGGTAAAATTCACCTTGAGCCCTGCCAGTGTGGCTCAGTGGATTGAGCATCATCCCATGGACTGAGAGGTCCCAGTTCAATTCCCAGGCAGGGCACATGCCCAGTTTGTAGGCTCGATCCCCAGTAGGAGGCGTGCAGGAGGCGACCAATAGATCTGTCTCATATTGATATTTCTATCTCTCCCTTCCTCTCTCTCTAAAAAAAATCAATAAAAACATATTTTTAAAAAAAATGTAGAACCTCTATTTATATTTATTATTTATACCATTCTTTAAAAACTTTTGATTTGGTGTATGTTTTAAAATAGTACAAGTTATATCCATTGGGTAGTACGCTATGATAGAAGCATCTATTTTTACCCACCACCCAATCTCTCCTTTTTCTTCAGCAAGAGAATTCCTATTTTAAAAGGGCACATGGCCAGCCAGCTAATAATGACATTTCCCAGACTCCCTCAGCTAGGTGTGGCCATGAACTCAGGGTAGTCAACAAAGGGTACAGCCCAGGCTGGTTTTGCTCAGTGGTTAGAGCGTCAGCCTGCGGTCCAGAGAGACCCGAGTTCAGTTCCCACTAAGGGCATGTACCTCGGTTACAGTTTGTCCCCGGCCCTGGTTGGGTCGTGCGGGTGGCAACCACTCGATGTGTCCCTTTCACGTCGATGTTTCTCTCTCTCCCACTCTATCTGAACAAAAAATGGAAAAATGGCCTCGGGTAAGGATTAAAAAAAGAAAAAGAAAAAGAAAGGGTAAACAGAAGTAATGCATACCATACTGGGTTGACCTTTAAAGGGAACGCGCACTATCCCTCTTTTTCTCTCCTCCCACTTGCTATGAAGCAAGTAGAGATGGGAACCTTGTCTAATTGACTCCAGATAACACAATTGTTAAGCCATAAATACTGTTTCAGTCTATATTTCTAAAAGATAGGTATTATTTGTAAAACAAAACCATGCTATTATTATACCTAAAAAAACTAATTGTTAATATACTCAAATATTCAGCCAGCATTTAAATTTCTACTTTTTTCTGTTTGAATTAAGCTCAGATAAGGTCTATACATTTCAATGAATAAATGTGTCTTAAATCTCTAAGTTTCTCTATCACCTCTCTTTTCCTCCCCTTATAATTTATTGATCGAAGAAACCTGATCCCTGGTCCTGCAGAACTCCCCACAATCTGTACTATTGTTTAATGTGGTATGGTTTTCACTTGCCTATTCCTATAAATCAGCCCAAATTCTTCTTCATTTGATTTATTTTGAAACACAGACTCAGGATGGTGTCATGGGGAAAATCTTCAGAATTCGACTACATTTAAATTCTATCTCCATTACTTAAGTTACCTTGGTGAAGTCACCCCACCTGTTGAACCTGTCTCCTCACTCTTAAAAAAGTAAATAACAACTCCTGTCCAGCCAGTCTAGAATGGTGGTGGTGAGCAGCAAATGCAACAGTATTTGGAAGGGTTTGCTAAAGAGCAGCAGGCTAGTCGATGTGAGTTACTAGGATTTGCTGATAAAGCATTAGAAAGCCTGCATAAAAAATTAACACTTGAACAAGTGAGATCTGGTATTTAAATGTTACAACTTTATGGATTTATATCTGTTATGATGCATGCAGCTCCACAGAAAAGTATTCAAAACCAGCATGAGGGGAAAAAAAGAGACCCTGGATGAGTTTTATTGTTGAAAAGAACCCCTTAGAGCATTAAGTTCAGTTCCAGATTTGAAGAAAATATCTGGTGACTGGAGACCAAAAACAGGAGTATATACATACACACACACACACACACACACACATACACACGTGTGTGTGTGTGTGTGTGTGTGTGTGTGTGTCATGTCAAACTAGTCTGGGATTTAAGGACCTAAGAACTAACTATCTAGCAATATCTCTCAAACTTTCAAAATCTACAATGTAATATGAACAATCATTTGGGGAGGAAATTTTTTAAAAGATAAATCACAATTATTTAATAACAAAAAAGGTTTGTTTTCAAATTCATAACTCTTATTTCACATCAGTGAGAGGGATGTCATGGTGATGATCTTTTCTTCAAGGTATCTACAGGAGAGAACATTTCATGTGAACATTCTATTCTAATGGCAAATATTAAATGGAAACCATGCAAGGACAGGATTCTTGAAAATCTCTTAAAATACTCCATATAATTCTATAGAGGATCTTATTCAGAAATTATTTCCTTCAAGTGTGTGGCCTCCTGGAACACTGGAAGCTTTTCAAGATTTCCACTTGCTTATTCATTCTGTATACAATCAGCCTCTTTCTCCTTGTGGGTTATGTGCACTACACACAGGCCAAAAGCACACTGGTGTTTTCTGCCATTCCCACTGGAAAGCAACTATCTGCTAGCACTTAAATTGTATCTCCACATAGCATGCCTTGGGTAGTATGCAACAGACAACAGATGGAATTAATAAAGGAATGTTTGCTCCAAGCATAACAACTGTCATAAACTTTCCAGTTGGTTCTTAAATCTTCTTGTCAGTTGTGTGACTTGTGCAAATGGTGCCACTTTGAGTGACACCTCTGTGGATCTGGTCTTTTCTGTCTTTAAGGATCAAATCTTTTGGTTACAAATTGGAACTCATCATATGTTTTCTGCAAATATCTGTTTTACCAGAGAAGTCACACTGCTTTGTCCAAAAATGAAACCATAACTTTAATGGCTTCATGTCATTATTTGAAGTTTCAAAAAGTATGATATACTGGAGATGTAGGGGAAATGGCTCACTCATCAAATAAAATTCAAGTTTTTTATGTTCATTGTATTTTTCTGTTTCAGTTGTTTGTTCAGAAAAGAAAATCATCCACAGAATCACCCCATCCCAGCCAAAAAAACCTCACGTTTTCCATTTCCCTGGAAATGCTGTTTGCTATATATAAGTATGATATTATTCTGAATTATAATCAATGCTATAATTCAACTCTTCTTTTATGTCTTAATGAACCACTTTCTTTTTTTTTTTATCCTCACCCGAGGACATTTTCTCATTTTTTTGTTCAGGTAGAGTGGGAGGGAGAGAGAGGAAGAGAGAGAGAAACAGAGAGAGAGAGAAACATCGATGATAAAGGAACACATCGAGTGGCTGCCACCTGCATGACCGACCAGGGCCCAGGACAAACTGCAACCGAGGTACGCGCCCTTAGCGGTCTCTCAGGACCGCAGGTCAACACTCTAACCACTGAGCCAAACCGGCCAGGGCAATGAACCACTTTCTAAACACTGATCCTTTTGTTTGTAAACTGAAAATATAATGTAAAAAAGAGATAATTGTCCAGGCCGGTTTTTCTCAGTGGTTAGAGCGCTGGTCTTTGGACCAATGAGTCGTGGGTTCGATTCCAGTCAAGGTCATGTACCTCGGTTGTGGTTTTCGTCCCTGGCCCTGGTCGGGTCATGCGGTAGGCAACCAATTGATGTGGCTCTATCACACTGATGTTTCTCTCTGTCTCTCTCTCTCTCTCCCTCCCTCCCATTCTATCTGATAATAACTGGAAAAATATCCTCGGGTGAGGAACAAAAAAAAAAGGATAATAACCAATTACAAATGTACTTAAGACTTAAATAACATAAAAAGACCATAGGCCAGATAGCTTGTCATGAGTTTAACTGGGTGTTAGATCAGAAATTTTCAACCTTTAGCATTTCATGGCACACACAAACCAATTACTAAAATTCTGCGGCACACCAAAAAATATATTGTATTTTTTGTCAATCTGACCAAAAAAAAAAAAAGTATAATTTTTATTCATTCACACCAGACAGCTATTGTGTTGGCTGCTAGCATTTTTTGGACAATTTTTGCTCAGTGGTTAGAGCGTCGGCCTGCAGTCCAGAGAGACCCGGGTTCGGTTGCCGCTAAGGGCATGTACCTCGGTTGCAGTTTGTCCCTGGACCGGTTGGGGTTGTGGGGGTGGCGACCACTCGATGTGTCTCTCTCATATCAATATTTCTCTCGCTCTCTTCCTCCCTCTCTCCCTCCTGCTCTATCTGAAGATAAATGCAAAAAAAAAAAAATGTTCTCAGGTGAGGATAAAAAAAAAAAAAAGAATATTATGAAGCAGTATTAAGAGCAAGGGCTCTGGAGCCAGATGGCCTGATTTCAAATCCAGGCTCTTCTACTTAATATTAACTTTGAGCAGGCAACTTAAACTCCCTGTGTCTTGGCTTCTCCCCATAAAAAAAAACAATTACTAGTATCCAACTTATTGGGTTGTGTGAGAATTAATTAACAAATGTATCAGAATGGTGTTTGACACAAAAAGTACTAAAATTATTAGCTTTATATCTCTAATGGGGTGTCTACAAAAATTATAACTCATTTTACATTTCAAATTTGTAAAATGTATATCAGCCACTATACCTGCGGCTTGAAATCCACAAACCACCACTGATGTGTGAACCCCATTGGTATATAGTAACTCTGCAATAGAACATTTAGCTATTTACTCACCACTTGGGACACAGGTTGACAAAACCATTGATGATGTCCTATTGGATTCTTGATTCTCAATAACACACTCTACTTTCTGCGAGAGATCACCCTCCTGAAGATATAACTTGGCCAGTTTGAGCGGAGAAGGAATTCCGAGAAAGCCTTTTCCACATGGTGGAAAAGGGCAACGCCATTCGTATTGTATTTGCTGTCGATGCCTATGGTAACTCTGAGGGATCTCACAGTGGATTTCAATGCTTTCATTAATCAATATACAATGTAGTATCGGAGATGGAAGAGGGTCTGGAAAAAACACGGAATATAAAAAGTAAAATTTAGACTCATCATCTGTAATTTATAAAGAACTCCCAATTTTCTTGTGAGTTTGAAGAGATGAGCAGACCACTTCCTTGGGCACCAACAGGAGAGAAGTCTCTCTTCCTCAAGTCTAATCTGCCTGCCTCATATTCAGAACACACACAGGCCCAAAATCCCTTATCCTCAATCCTGAAAAACACAGATCTTAGACAAAATGGTGGCAAAGTCGTTTTGTTGCAAATTCTCACCTGAATTGACATGAGGATTTATAGTTTTTATTGTTCTCACTAATTTCAAACATTCACTATCACGTTTTACTAAAAACAGTCATGTGCTTGAATATAGGGTGCTCCCCATAACTAAGTCGGGTGCTTCTTAACATACAGAGGAAATAGTTTGTTTCCCTTCCAAAATCTGAAAAATGTTTCATTCCAAACGCTATCTGACTCAAAGGGTTTTGCAAAAGGTACTGTGGGCTGGCCTGCTGATAGGCAGAATAAGGTGTGGCACCTGTCAGAGACCTGCCAGCCTAGAGGCCTCATTCCCAGATGTCCTCTAGGAAGCGCCTCCTGCAGGCTAAGGCAGCCTGGCCCTGCACACCGCGGGCTAAGACACTCATGCCACACTGCACCATCTTACCCTCTAAAATCTTCATGCTGATTTGTCTGTCCCACTTGTCATGTATTTCATTCATATGCCTTCTTGCATCTCTACTTTCCCCCCAAAACTAATCATAAGAGATTTGAGAAAACATGTAAATATATATATAGAATATACAAAGAGAAAAAAAGTCATGGTGTCATTTGGATAATAAAATTTCAATACATTATAAACATCTACTAAAAAGCGAATTACAGCCCTGACAAGTTTGGCCCAGCGGTTAGAGCATCAGCCCACGTATCAAAGAGTTGCGGGTTTGATTTCTGGTCAAGGGCACATACCTCAGTTGCAGGTTCGATCCTCAGCCCTGGTCAGGGTCGTGTGGGAGGCAAACAACCAATATGTCTCTCTCACATCAATATTTCTCTCTCTTTCCCTTCCACTCTATCTAAAAAAAATCAATGGAAAAATGTCTTCAGGTGAGAATTAACAAAAAAAGCAAATTTCAGTAAAGTTCATCAAGATGATGGAATAATATGCTGTCATTTGAATTAATATTTTCTAAGACAAAGAAACACTTAAACTCCGAATAATAATCTAAAAAGGGAAGTGTTCAACTCATCTTTCCCCTCATCTCCTCCAAAACTCTTTCTCACGCAGACACCCAGCCTGCCTCACTAGACACCCAGCCTGCCTCACTAGAGACCTACGACCAACTTTCTGCTTGGGGCCTCCTCAGTTTTTTTGTTGTTTTTTTTATCCTCACCCGAGGACATTTTTCCATTTTTTGTTCAGGTAGAGTGGGAGGGGGAGAGAGGAACAGAGAGAGAGAGAAACATCGATGTGAAAGGAACACATCGAGCGGCCGCCACCCGCACAACCAACCAGGGCCGGGGACAAACTGCAACCGAGGTACACGCCCTTAGCGGGAACCGAACCCAGGTCTCTCAGGACCGCAGGCCGACGCTCTAACCGCTGAGCCAAACCGGCCAGGGCAGGGTCTCCTCAGTTTTTAGGTTTAATCTAGCTCACATAACTTGTTACATGTTGCCATAAAAATTTTCCTTTAGTTAAAAGAAATTTTAGTCCAGCCAGTGTGGCTCAGTGGTTGAGCATCGAGCCATGCACCAAGAGGTCGCCGGTTCAATTCCCAGTCAGGGCACATGCCCAGGTTGTAGCCTGATCCCCAGTGGCGGCCAATCGATGTCCTCTCTCATCGATGTTTCTATCTCTCTCTCTCCCTTTCCCTTTCTCTCTCTCCAAAATCAATACAGAAAAAAAAATTATTTAATAAAAAACTTCAATCTTTTTTAAGCACTGGTAACCTTTCTCCAAATTCAATCTTAAGCAACAGACTATTATTCTCCAAAAGGATAAGGAGTTGCTCTAGTTGACTCAAAAGTGGGAAGCCCAGAGCCCTTGTCCCTTAGCCTCCTCAGGTCCACCCTGCCATCATACCCCCACAGCAGCTCCCAAGGCCCTTCCAGCTAAGAAATGGAGACGACCATTCTAGGGATTGCATGTACTTTGCCTGACTCTGCAACGAGGCTGGGCATTTCTCAGGGGCGGGAAGCCAAACTTCCTACTTCCTTAGACATGTTCTGTAGAAGCATTTCTTAAATATTATTAGGCATAAGAATCACCTGGGGTGTGTGTTAAAAATACATATTCCTGGGCCCCACCATTCCAGGTGATTCTGATGTGGGTGCTCTATGTATTGTTACAGATTCTGGTTTATTGATCTAATTCGGCCATTATTTAGTCTTTCGTCACTTTCTAAACTGAACAGAGGTACATCATGAGCCCCTCAGACTATGAGTCTTTGGAGGGTAAAGACTAGGAAATATTCACCTCTTAACCACAGCACTTGACATAATACAAGCCACATAGTTGGCTCAAGGAGGACAGATGTTGGACAGATGGATAGATGGATAAATTCAGAGAGACAGTGTTCAAATTACTCTCTCCACTCTGTACAATGTCAATTCTTCAATAGCTCACCTCCACAAAGGAATGGTATGGTGGCTATGAGCATACACTGGCTTGGTTCATATCCCATTCTAAGAACCACTTGACCTTGGGCAAGTTATTTAATCCCCTGTGCCTATGTTTTCTGTCCTGTACATTAAGAAAACAAATACTGCCCTGGCCGGTTTGGCTCAGCGGTTAAAGTGTCGGCCTGCGGTCCTGAGAGACCCGGGTTCGGTTCCCGCTAAGGGCATGTACCTCAGTTGCAGTTTGTCCCCGGCTCTGGTCAGTCGTGCGGGTGGCAGCCACTTGATGTGTTCCTTTCACATCGATGTTTCTCTCTCTCTCTTTGTTCCTCTCTCTCCCTCCCACTCTACCTGAACAAAAAATGGAAAAATGTCCTCGGGTGAGGATAAAAAAAAAAGAAAAGAAAACAAATACTATCCACCCTACATGACTGTGATGAGGATGAAATGAGTTGATAATAATTCTTACATGCATCACACTGTAATCATTATTACAGTGCCTGACACAGTATAAGTGCTTAATGAATGCTAGCTATCATGGAGCTCGAGGCTAGCAAGGTGAAGCTCCCCAGGAGGGTGTGTGATACAATGAGAAGAGTCACTGACCAGGAGCTGGGAGGTGTGAGCATTAGCCCCAGCTTGCTATGTGACCTTGGACCACAGTTTTTTTCTTTATTGATTTTAGAGAGAAAGGAAGGGAGAGGGAGAGAGAGAGATAGAAACATCGAAGAGAGAACATCAATTGGCTGCCTCCTGCATGCCCCCCACTGGGGATTTGGCCGACAACTTGGGCATGTGCCCTGATCGGGAACTGAACTGGCAACCTGCTGGTACATGGGTTGATGCTCAACCACTGAGCCAAAGCAGCCGAGCTAAACCACAGCTCTTGTAGGAGGCTGCAAGACTTTAGAGAAATCATCCAGCCCAGGCTCCTGATCTGTACAAATGGGAAACCCATTGCTAAGTCTGTCTCATTTTAATCTGTAAAAGGGAATAGAATACTTTATAAGGTCAATGTAAAGGGCAAGTGGGATATGAAAATGCTGTGAGGGGAGACACATGGAAGTGCCAGTATTCTCTCCTATGTTGTTAGAGCCCACTTAGCTCTACAGAAGCTCTTCCTGGTGGTCTCATTATACCGCAAGAAGTATGCAAACCCTTCTGCAGCTTCTGGGTCAGACCTTCTGCACCTTAAATCTTTCTGTCTGTAACCTTCCCTACTCTCTCATTGACAGGGGACTTGTAATTATACCTAACAGATTAGTTACATCTATACGTTAAGCAGCATTAAACTGACCAGAAGTGTGCCTACACCATCCCTTAAGATAAATTTCTTTTTGTAATTTTTTTATTAATTTATTTTTGTTACAAATGTTTCTCCCTTTTTTCCCCATTGACACTCTCCTCCCCTACCCCCCACCCCATCCCCAGCTTTGTTGTCCGTGTCCATTGGTTATGCGTACATGCATATAAGTTCTGTGGTTTATCTCTTCCTCCCCACCCCACCCCTTCTTCTGAGGGTTGTCAGTCTGTATCCTACTTCCACGTCTCTGGGCCTACCCCATTCCTCAGACTGTTATGTTCATTATATTCCACAAATAAGTGAGATCATGTGATATTTGTCTTTCTCTGCTTGGCTTGTTTTGCTTAGGATAACACTCTCCAGGTCCCTCCATGTCATTTCAAAGGATAAGAAATCATTCTTTCTTACAGCTGCATAGTACTCCATTGTGTATATGTACCACAGCTTTTTTATCCATTCATCTACTGATGGACACTTGGGCCCCTAAGATAACTTAATTAGTCACTTTATAATTAGTTAATCCAGTCCACCACTCTGTAAGAAATGAGATTTTCTTATACATATCAGAGGGCATTTATATATTTTTATATAAATATAGAATTTTAATAAAAAGTTATATACCAGTTAAGACCAACTAAAGATAGAACAGTTAATTCTGCTTACATGAACATTACCAACGCAACAAAGGTCGTAAGGGGATTCAAAAGAACTAATAAACAATATTCGTGAAAATTTTAAGGGGACTTTGAAGGAAACGGAAAGCAGACAGCAACTTATACATAGAAGGAAGAGGTGCCAGGAAATCCCCTCTACTAGAATACCCCTTCTGAAAATCTTCCGTTAGGTCTGGTGTCTCCGGAAGAACAATACCAAGTCACTTAAGTGTAACTAAACACACCCTCGAAAATGTATGACTTCCCCATTTCTAAAAAATAAAAGTATGACCAATCGTTCTGTCATTCAGATATGAAACCTTGAATCATTTATACCAAAATCTAAATATTGTTAACTCTTTCTTGATACATCCTCTGATTCATTCTTTTTCAAACATCTACTACCAACCCCTCTTCTTTCTACCTGAATGGTCACAATAGCTTCTAACCTGTGACTCTTTTCCTTAACACACTATAAATACCTACCATCTGATTAATCTTCCAAAAATATATTTCATCAAGTCACATCACTGCTCCAGTATTGGATACAGTGGTTCCTCATTGCCACAGGCTAAAATCCAGATTCCCAAAGCAGGACTTGAAATCCCACATTTAATACTGTGAAGATCAACTGCCTCCTCATGGAAACTCACCTCCTCTGCAGGCTTTCACTAAACTTCCTAAGGGCTATCAGCGTCAGCACAGCCCAGGAAATGCACTTCAAATAGAAGGGATGGAGGGATCAGAATTACTGGTAATGACAAATTCTAGGTTATATCCATGGGGAGCCATAAGGAGAGGAGGACAAGATCATTACAGGAGAGGACAGCAAGGTCTGAGAAATTGAGACATTAAAAAGAACTTTTATTTAAATATTACAATCACCAAGAATTATGACAGCAGGAACATCAGAAATAGTACAAATGAGCCCTGGCCGGTTTGGCTCAGCGGTTAGAGCATCGGCCTGCGGTCCTGAGAGACCCAGTTCGGTTCCCGCTAAGGGCGTGTACCTTGGTTGCAGTTTGTCCCCGGCCCTGGTCGGTTGTGCGGGTGGCAGCCACTCGATGTGTTCCTTTCGCATCGATGTTTCTCTCTCTCTCTCTGTTCCTCTCTCTCCCTCCCACTCTACCTGAACAAAAAATGGAAGGATGTCCTCGGGTGAGGATTAAAAAAAAAAGAAATAGAACAAATGAATCAGGCACTAAAATGATCAAGAAAAATTGGGGTGATGTTCATTGTAGCATGATGTACAATAGCCAAGACATGGAAACAACCTAACTGTCCATCAAAGGATGAATGTATAAAAAAGCTATGGTACAGCCCTGGCCGGTTTGGCTCAGCGGTTAGAGCGTCGGCCTACGGTCCTGAGAGACCTGGGTTCGGTTCCCGCTAAGGGCATGTACCTCGGTTGCAGTTTGTCCCCGGCCCTGGTCGGTCGTGCGGGTGGCAGCCACTCGATGTGTCCCTTTCACATCGATGTTTCTCTCTCTCTCTCTGTTCCCTCTCTCCCTCCCACTCTACCTGAACAAAAAGATGGGAAAATGTCCTCAGGTGAGGATTAAAAAAAAAAAAGCTATGGTACAGACTGGCTCGTTTGGCTTAATGGTTAGAGCGTTGGCCTACAGACCAAAGAATCGCAGGTTCAATTCTGGTTGAGGGCACATACCTCAGTTGCAGTTTAGTCCCCAGCCCTGGTAGGGGTCGTGAGGGAGGCAATCAATTGATGTGTCCCTCACATCGATGTTTCTCTTTGTCTCTCTCCCCAAACTCTTCTCTCTCTTCCCCAGCCCTCCTCCCCTCCCGCTCTATCTAAAGATAAATGGAAAAATATCCTTGGGTGAGGATTTAAAAAAAATAAGTTCTCAACTCAAGAATAAAAATTTTAATCCTTTTTTCTTCTCCTCTCTTTTCTCCTTATTGTCTCTATATGAGAAGTTAGGTGTTAGCTGAACCTAATGTGGTAATCCACAATGTGTGTACAATAAACCATCACGCTGTATACCTGAAACTTATATAGTGATGTATGTCAATTACTTCTCAATAAAATGGAAGCAAACAAACAAACATCAGGGTGTACCATGTACCTATAGATGGCTGCAACAAGGAAGGGTGAGTAATCTGGAAGTGTCAATGAGGAGCATGGAGGAATCTGTACTGTATCTCCAGTTCCAGTTTAAAGTGACATAGGAAAAAAAAAACAACAACACTGCTAGGTGGGCTGCAGAAGGAAACAGACGCCCTCATTGATAAAACACCATCACCTATCAGTAAAGTTCAGAAAGTTCTGAGTTCACTGCTGTCACGACATCCTTTTCCAGAATGTTCTAGCAGACAAGTGAGGTGTCTATGCCCAACTGGTGCTGTTCTCCAGCCTCAGTCACATCCTCTGCTCACCTAGAGAATGACAGAATTGGAAGTGGCTCTGTGCACAGGGAAAAGAGGAAAACCCTGACAAAATGCGATAATGAATGGCATTATTTCTCATAAGCCATTAATTTGTATGAGTCTCTTTCAAAAAGCTGGAAATTTGACATTTTAAACAAACCAAGTTATGAAATACTCACCAAGAATTGTAAGAAAAAATTTCTTGTCATCTGTAAGGCTCGGGGATTCAATCTCATATTCACCTTCATCCGATGATGTTAAATTGACGATGATGAGGTTACCCAACTTAGTGTCTAAATCAACCCTACCTCTAAAAGGTGGGTAAGATTTGACCTCATAGTCTGATCCCCATTCCACGACTTTATTCTTTCCTTTTTTCCATATTATCTCTTTAAAATCTACAGTTAATGATGGAGCCAGAGTGACGTTCCCATTCACAGTTCCAAAATACGATAGGTTCCCACAGCTGATAAAATCTGGGAGAGAAAAAAATTAGGAAAAATAACATGACTTTGTAAAAAATAGAAAACCATCTTCCAAAATGTTCTGTGGGGAAAGGAGTTAAACTGAGTGTTAGAAACTATTCATCAGCTTTTGTGTGCCAAGCTGATAAACTCCTGACAGGAATTACATGCTTGACCATGTGGAATGCACTCTTTAATGGGGGCCCACATAAACGTAAGAAGTGGAGTCCACATTTATGGAGCACCAACTACATGCCAGGAACTACCGGCAATGCAAGGAATATGGCAGCAAACAGCAAACAAAACGGGTACTGCTCCAGGCATTGAAGGAGTTTCACTTCGTGGAGGAGACACAGAAGACAAGGACAGCCGCCCAGGCAGGGCTTCCCCCAGGAAGTCATGCTAAAAGTGACACAGGACGACAAACCACTGAAGGATGAGGGCAGCCGGCCAGCTGAGAGCTGGAAGAGAGGAGAGTGGGCATATACAGAGGAAGCAGTGCTCCAAAGGCAGGTCCTAAATCAAGGAGTTTGTTCTGTCTGAGGAAACAAAAGCAGTTCCAATGTCTGAAACAGAGAAAGCAAGCGGTGACGAGCAGAAAGGAGGCTACAGGCAGGGGGGGTGGGGGTCGCTCCAGTACGTGAGCAGGGTTCAGAGGGTGTCAGGAAAGATGCTAAGGGTCTGGAACTTACCCTGATGGCATAGGGCAGCTACAGAAAGGTTTTTTTTCTTTATTGATTTTTTACAGAAAGAGAGAGGAAGGAAGAGAGAGAGAGAGAGAGAGAGAGAGAGAAACATCAATGAGAGAGAACATTGATTGGCCACCTCCTGCATGCCCTCACTGGGGATCGGACCCACAACCTGGGCATATCCCCTGACCGGGAATTGAACCGGAAACCTCTTGGTGTATGGGTTGATGCTCAACCACTGAGACACACTGGCCAGGCCACAGAGAGGATTTATTTTTATTTTATATATTTATTTTGTTTCTAGTGAAATGATTTGCCTGCTATGGTGTTCTTAGGCAAGGCATCTAACCTTGAAAAGCTTCAGATTTTCCATGTTTAAGATCCTTGGTATCTGTGGGAATCAAGTGAGAAAGTGCAGGGGACTCTACTAGATGGCTCACTGGGTCCACACAGCTGTGAAAGTCATTATCAAAGGGGAAGCTAGGATTGGCAGCACCTGAAGCTTGTACACTTTCAGGGAGGCAGGTCTATAAGAGCATAAGAATACTCTCTCTATATTTTTCTTTTTCTTAAATTTTTAAATTATTTTTGTTACAGATATTTCTCCTTTTTTCCCCATTGACACCCTCCTCCCCATCCCCCCCACTCCATCCCCAGCTTTGATGTTCGTGTCCATCGGTTATGCGTACATGCATGTAAGTTCTATGGTTTATCTCTTCCCTCCCCCCACAACCTCCTCTTCTGAGGGTTCTCAGTCTGTACCCTACTTCCATATCTCTGGGTCTACCCTATTCCTCAGACTGTTATGTTCATTATATTCCACAAATAAGTGAGATCATGTGGTATTTTTCTTTTTCTACTTGGCTTGATTCACTTAGGATAATACTTTCCAGGTCCCTCCATGTCGTCTCAAAGGATAAGAGATATTTCTTTCTTACAGCTGCATAGTACTCCATTGTGTATATGTACCACAGATTTTTTATATTCTTTCATCTACTGATGGACACTTGGGCTGTTTCCAGATCTTAGCTATTGTAAACAGTGCTGCTACAAACATGGGGGTATATATATTCTTCCTGATTGGTGTTTCAGGCTTCTTAGGGTATATTCCTAGAAGTGGGATCACTGGGTCAAATGGCAGTTCAATTTTTAATTTTTTGAGGTAACACCATATTGTTTTCCATAGTGGCTGCACCAGTCTGCATTCCCACCAGCAGTGTACTAGAGTCCCCTTTTCTCCACATCCTCACCAACACTTGCTGTTTGATGATTTGTTGATGGCGGCCATTCTGACAGGTGTGAGGGATACCTCATTGTTGTTTTAATTTGCATCTCTCTGATGATTAGTGATGTTGAGCATTTCTTCGTATGTCTCTTGGCCATTTGTATGTCCTGTTTGGAGAGGTGTCTATTCAGCTCCTCTGCCCATTATTTAATTGGGTTCTTTGTCTTCCTTTTCTTGAGTTGTATGAGCACTTTATATATTTTGGAAATTAACCCCTTATTCATTGGCAATGATGTTCTCCCATACACTGGGTTGCCTTTCCATTTTGATGGTTGTTTCTTTTGCTGTGCAGAAGCCTTTTAGTTTGATGTAGTTCCATGTGTTCAGTTTTCCCTTTGTTTCTGTTGCCTTAGGTGATGTATCAGTGAAAATTCTGCTGTGTATGATGTCTGAAATTTTGTTGCCTACAATTTCTTCTAGAATTTTTATGAATTCACGGGTCACATTTAAGTCTTTTATCCATTTTGAGTTTATTTTTGTGTATGGTGTAAGTTGGTGGTCTACTTTCATTTTTTTGCAGGTAGCTGTCCAATTTTCCCAACACCATTTATTAAAGAGGCTGTCTTTACTCCATTGAATGCTCTTGCCACCTTTGTCAAATATTAATTGAGCATAATGTCTTGGGTCCGTTTCTGGGTTCCCTGTTCTGTTCCACTGATCTGTATGCCTGTTCTTATGCCAGTACCAGGCTGTTTTGATTACAGTAGTTTATAGTCTAATCTGATATCCGGTATTGTGATCCTAACTATTTTGTCCTTCTGGTTTAAGATTGGTGTGGCTATTCCGGGTCTTTTTTGGTTCCATATGAACTTCTGAAGTATGTGTTTTAGTTCCGTGAAATATGTCGTTGGTATTTTGATGGGGATTGCATTGAATCTATAAATTGCTTTGGGTAGTATTGACATTTTAATGATGTTAATTCTTCCAATCTATATTTTTATATCACAGAAAAGTTTTAAACAAAAGATGAATTGACATAATTTAAGTTTCCACAGTTTGTCCATCTGCAAACTGGACAGTGGCTGACAGGTACAAGCATGGAGGCAGAAAATATAGAACAGAGGCAGTGCAGTAGCAAGGAGAGGGTGGCAGAAGGTGGCAGATCAGACCAGGAATGTGCAAGTGGACAAATTTAAGACCTGTCTGAAAGAGAAATCTCAGGGGTTAGTGACTGGATGTGGGGGACCAGGGAGAGGGAGGAGTTAATGGTGGCTGTCTGTGAGCCTTCTTTTTTGGCTGACGGAAGCTACTGAAATCTAAAACAATGACAGGAAGCAAGTCAGGGGTATGACAAAGATTAACAACTCTAGGACTATGTGCAGTGGTGTGCTGGAACTGATTCAAACCCTCAGTCACAAGCGAATGGTTAACATCTCTGATCGACTCCAGTCAGATCATACCGGTGGGAGTACTGTCAGCAAAAACCAACAAAGGGGGATTCCAAAATGGCGGTGGAGTGAATGGAAGCAACACAGATCGTCTCCTAGGACCAAACTGAAATTACAACTAAAATAAAGACAAATCGACAGGAAAAAGGAACAGAAAAGCAGCTTGCAAGGATCATATAACCAGGGACACTGACTCAATCCTGGTAGGATTGCAAGGCTCGAGAGGGAGGCTGGGAGCCCACAGACAGCAGCGGCCTTAGCTGTGAGCAGTGCCCTTGGGTTAAATTCCCAAGAGCCTCCACAGCACAGAGCTGGGACAGACGCTAAAATAGCCACAGCCACTCACCTTGGGCTCTGGCAGAGGAAGGGCAGACTGGACTGGAACTGTGTGGAGACACTCAGGATTTGGAGGGGCCTCAGAGCTTTTGCTGAGTTGCAGCCACGCAAAACCGTGGCCAACTTACTCCTTCCCAGGGTTCTGGGGAGAGGTGGAGGCCCCTCCCTCGGAGACTCAACCCCATCCAGGTGGGCCTTTTAAATGCAAATTGAGGCTCAGTAACAACCAGCATCTGCCCCACCTTGAGGAAATCCCCTTAGGCTAAGCACCTGAGGGAGTTTTTCATTCAACTGAGAAGCCAAGGCTCTTCAAGTAACCACTACTGATAGCCTCCAGGAAAAAAGCTAGAGGATAACTGTACCATTCCTGGGCTAGGAACTCTAACCAGGAAAGTAAGACTTCATGGCGGTGTTTAATGTGGGTCCTCCCTCGCTCATCCAAACCCAGGAGAGGGAGCCACAAATAGCAGTAAACCAACACCCATGGGAAAAATTTGGCAGGCTCCAAAGCCTACTGTGATAGCCAAAATGGTGAAACAAAGAAACAAAAGCCAAATGAAAGAACAAGATCTCTACCGAAGATGAGATAAATGTGGAGCAATTAAGCAAGTTAACAGAGCTAGAATTCAGAGGCATGATCTTGAGGAATCTCAACAACATGAATAAGAACATAGAAATGTTGAAAATCAACCAAATGGAAATTAAAAACCACCAAGAAGAAATCATGACATATCAGAAATAAAGACCACATTGGAAGGTCTAAAGAGCAGAGTAGAGGAAGCTGAGGACCGGATCAGTAAATTAGAAGACAGGGTAAAATAAAAATCAACCAATCAGAAAGCCAAAAAGAAAAAACAATTAAAAAACTGGAAGACAGCTTAAGAGAACTGTGGGACAACTGGAAACATAATAATATTTGCATCATAGGAGTCCCCAAAGAAGAAGAAAACGAGCAAGAGTTAGAGAATATATTTGAAGAAATAGTGACAGAAAACTTCCCTAATTTGGTGAAGGAAGAAGGCATTCAAGTTCAAGAAACACAGAGAGCCCCAAGTAAGAAGAACCCAAACAGACCCACACCAAGACACATAGTAATTAAAATGCCAAAAATTAAAGACAGAGAGAATCCTAAAAGCAGCAAGAGATAAGCGACAGGTTACCTACAAAGGAATCCACATAAGGCTCTCAGCTGACTTCTCAATAGAAACATGATAGGCCAGAAGGGAATGGCATGAAGTAATCAAGGTCATGAAAAACAAGGACCTGAATCCAAGACTACTCTACCCAGCAAGGCTGTCATTCAAAATAGAAGGT